GTTAAGGTCGTAAGATGTATGTCAATCCTGCGTTTCAACCTGATGTTTACACTTCATTTCCAAGTGATTGATAAGCTAGAAATATCAAGTGACTCTACGGCCCTGATATGAGCTGCCTACGAGCACTGCATACGCATAGTAAGCATAGAGTTTGGAGCAATTTTCATCCTTCAACAATGCCTCCGGAATTACCTACTTTCCAATGACAAAATGTTTCCGAGTAGTTGCCAAGTCGATAACAACCTGTGTCACGGCGTGCACACATGGCTGCTTCTAGGACTAGCTGAAACACTGGTCCATAGCAGGATTAGTGGGGCGCGGTTGCCTTTGTAAATGATCGCAAACACATTGTAGGAACGCCTGTGAGTGAGATCACAGTGTTTGTCTGTTCCAAGTACTCACCCGAATTATCAGAGTACAATGCCTGCGTCGCCACTAATCATAAGTCTTGCGTTGTTTCTAGCAAGACGATGTGGCATGTATAAACACCGTAGTCATTGTACCTCCTCTAGGTGTTTTTTTGTTGAGTAATGCCGATTTCATGAGGATAGCATTCCAGTCCATGGACGTAATAAGGCGGTTCCATCTGCATTGACTGTGCTTCTAATGGTTCTATTTGGAGAGCCACTTGTCAAATCGTCTCAACGCGTACGGGCGATCATATGAAAGTGAAGCCTAATTATCCTATGAATACATAGGTCCCTATGACCTTTACACAACGCCATACATGGAGACACTAAAGCGATAACTGATTAACAAAATCGCCTATGGGTGTGGAGACAAACGAACACTCACTAACGTCGTGTCAACGCCACACTTGGAATCCTATTATTTTTTGTTGAATCAACAACCGTGATAGAAGTAAGCGAACATAGAACTTTCGTTGTTCAACTTCAGGTTGGTCTAACAACTTCTATGGGATGTATGTCCCCCATGATCGTTGCAATGACAATCGCACACAAAATTGTATAACCGTCTAGCAGCCATTGCTGTACTGCGGAATACCAGTTAGATGATTGCCTGTCTACGCATTATGGTTAGGCCGTTGAATAAGCCACCATTAGGTAGCCGTTAGCGATCACTATAGACCGCTTCATTTGCTGGTTATTATATCTGTCCACACTGGTTACGTCTTAAGCTTCGGATCATGTGGCAGCTAGGATCTCCTCCTTAGACAGGCATCACAACTTACGCATTGGACGGTTTCAGTTTGGAGACCAATCATCGAGGTTTCCTTCAGATAGGCATCACAATAGAACAGAAAGTGGTGCTCGACCACTTTCATTGGACTGTCTGTCGCTTATGCTGTGGGCTTCCAACCGGTGTCCCATTGGTTTACGTCCCATGACCAATGAGAGTGTCAACGACACCAAAACAGCGTTCTTAGCCTCGCTAACTTGAAAGTACTGCACGCGATTTCGAAGATGTGCCACGCTAAAAGCTTGGTACAATGTACTAACATGCGTGTAAAATGGTATAGTTTCTAGCGGTTGCTAGATCCCTCCTCAGTCGAAAAACTAGACTATTCAGTTGAAAACATCCTGTAGTGGAAACAAAACAGGGCGTATTTTAAAAGAGTACACATCACCCGTTTTCGTAATCTTTGCTCATTTTCTCGCGACTCTTGAGAAATGGAGTTTGTTGTTAACTTCTTATGCTCAGTTTTGTATTCGTTCCAGTTAAAACCATTTTTTGGATTCATGATCTGCGTGCTTCACGACAATAAATCAGAGCCGGACTAGCATAGTGAGGATTGCATGGTCAATCTTAACAGGCCACTGATAGACATTCATAAAATCGATTGATGTGCGCATTATCATGCTAAATTGTGGTTGCACTTCCAATTCTTTAACTTACCGCGCGTCAGGATTACGAACATTTCCCACTGGATCTATGCTTCCAATATCAATGTTTGTAGTACCAATTTCATCTTCGGTCTCAGTATGATTATCACCGCACATTTTGACCACTTCAGTCATAGAGGTAATTTCGATGAATGTACACTTGGTATTGAACAGTCATCTGCACTACAATTGCCGCGCCCTGTCACATGCTGCTCAGGCGAACCGCCGCCCCCCTATGTTGCGCCTCTGGCCATAGTGCACAACAGTTACCACATATGAGCGGTTCGACACTGGTAGTACTGTCCAAACTCCGAAGAGCGCATAGTGCGGCTTTCAGGTCGATGGACCTATGGTCTTTGTTTGCTCCAGCGTGCAATCCATTTCTGATCGCGCAACACCAGGTATCTTGATTCGCACTCCAACCTGCTCTTGGTATGTTGCAATATGACGCATTGGTGCGTGGACAGTGTGACAAAATTCAGCTGCCACCTTACTTGAGTACGTGGCCGTACAATTTGGACGAGCGTTGTTCCTTATACTCCCTTGCCAACATAATCATCGCTGCAAGTAGTGGCGTGCCAACTACCTTTGCTGCCCGGGGTGGTGGCAAAATTTTCGCCCTGACTGAGGGCGCATGAAATCCACACAATCGGCTCAGGGTAAAGTACACATTAGTTCTCGATGAACTGGATGATCGTTTGGGACACTGAGGTGAATGTGGCGAAAGTGACCACAATGGGGCAAATAAGGGGATCATCTGGAATAACATTTGCGCAGGTATGACACAGGGTCATACAGAGAAACACTAAAATATTCAACCCTCAGCTTATCTGGAAATTATGCCCTTTATATTTGGTATCACACAATCAACGGCACTAAAGATGCCGCCCCCTGTCGCATGCCGCCGGGGGCGGACCGCCCCTTGCTACGTCTGTGGCTGTAAGTCTCGACTGCATTACCGGCTGATCGTCAAGCATATTGTGATATCCACAACTGTCACAGTTTTGACTTGATTACAGATGTGTTGTCTACCCAAGTAATAATCCCGTATCCACATCGTAGTGTTTGTGATTATACGCCACGATACCTACACACCGCAGACCAATTAAGAATGCGGCGGATGCATATACCAAAACACAAAGTGCAGAACACGTTTGCGTTTACGTTTTTGGGTTGCGTCGCCTCGGAAATGATCGAAATTCCGATGTGTTTGCAGTTTTACCACAAAATCAACTACTTCCGTCTTCCATTCTTCGACTTGCATGTCTGCAGTCTCCATTAGTCTAGCAAAATGCACTATACCCATTTAATGCTCACCGCTCCAGAAACTATACCTTTTGATAATTCTTGAAATTGTTGAAGAAACGAACCGGAGACAAAGAAACTCATTTGAGGGCTATTCTCAAACATCGCACATCATGCTTTGCATTGCATTTCTACCGAGACACGATATTCTAGGAGAGAGCAAACTAACAGCTCCTATTTAGACTTGCCGGATCCTAACGTGGTGCGAAGGTTGGGTCGTCTCAACAATCAACTGAGCCGTGCTGGGTGGTGTTTTTGCACCTTTAAAATCACTTATACCTAAGTCATCCATAATCGCAAGCCAGATCAACCCATTTCCCATCTTTGGTTAAACCGATGATATTATGCTAAGCTGACAGTTTAAGGACATACCAAGCAGCACTGGCCAGCTTGATACTGGCTATCAGCCGTATTAAGGATGTGGTTTGCGCTCTCAGAGCGCAGGGCTTCCCTCTAGGATTGGCATGGGCCACCCATGCGCGTAACGTCAGCAGGAAGGCGTCCAGAAACTAATGTGCCTGGGCAGCCATATGAGGCCACGAATCGTATAGAAAAAGCTCGTAGAGCTTATGTTAAGCTTCACCACATGGCGCACTGCTCGACATAACGTTTGGAGTCTATAATGTTACCATGCGTTTAACTGCACTACGGCCCACTAGATCAACGCATATTGAGAGAGTAGTTCCGTTCGAGAAGATAGGGGGCGGTCGATGCCTTGGTCAGAGGGTAATGTCCCTCACTTCGTACTTGATACGAGATGGAGTCACTGGACTCTTTGGTTTGGTTCCGAAAAACGATAAACACGTATGCTTGGAGACACTTGTTGACATGGCAGAGAGCTGACTTCATTGGCGTTTGGATTGTGGGCCTAATTCTCTCAACACCCCTCTTACCTTCCTCTATAGCTACAACCCCTCCCCTGACGCGTAACTAAGACGAAAAAATATGATTCGTTTTTTACGAAGTATAATTCGCTAGATGTGATATAGCGCCACTTACTATCAACCCATACGTTACTACCGTGCCGAGGATAAAATGCGCGTACAGTGCTTTTCTAGGCGTGTGATGGCTATCTGACTGAGTCTAGATGTGATGAATTTCTACTTATACCAATCGACATCACCTACTACTTAGTGAACCTCTTAGTATTCGGTTTTGTTTCTGTTTCCACATCACATTCCGTTGTGTTTCTGCACAATAATTGAGATGTTTCTCACCTCTAGCTAACGTGCAGAATGATAATCGGTCAACTGAAGTGGACAATCTGAATCTCAGTTGCTTCTTGGGTAGCGTCTCGTTAGATTTACCTGTACCAACTTGGATGGAACCGCGAGGTGACAATTTAACGGAGAAACTTACCGAAAGATCGGGTTTAGCGTTTGTTGTCTTTCCGAATTTGGTCATCAGGGTTGGCCGTATCATTAGTTAAATATTCGATGGGGTATTACTCTGTTTAGGCAACATAGGTGTCCTGGTGCTAATTCAAAATAATTTCTGACTCATAACTGCTCCGTCTGATTACCCTACCCGTTAAGTCGTTTCTTTTCACTTCCTTTATTTTTGTCAAATTCTTCACTATGATTAATGTTGGTCACGCGAGCCAACAGTATCCGTCATAGTTCAGTGTCCAGTACAGGGGAATAATTCAGCTGAAACGAGCTGTGTGCATCCACAACTACCACACTGTAGCCTACAGAAGGCAGTGGTGCAAGCGTCGATATGCACACGCACACGCTGAATTGAGATAGCGGAGTCGACAATGTGTAAATGACCCACAGTTTACCAGCTTCTTGCAAGAGTGGCCACGTCCTCGACACTCAGTATTGAAACAAAAATCTCATTTTATTTCAGGGATATAAAGCCAGACAATATACTCATTACACGCAACGGGCACATCAAGTTGACCGATTTCGGCCTATGCACTGGGTTCCGTTGGACTCACAGCTCAAAATATTGGGATCTTGATTTCAATATTCCCTCCTCGACTAGTCGACAAGTGAAGGCCAAGGTCACACTTGGGAATGTGAGGACTGTCCGTGACGTTAAGCTACGTCTTCAGGATGAGCCGAACGATAAATGCGGCGCCCGTACTGAGGAGAAGCAAAGCGATGATGAACGTGATGAAGAAGGTGAAGACTTCGAAGAGGAGGTCGAAGCCACGGAGGAGGAGGAAGTGGAAGAGGCAGAAATGGGTGAAAAGAGAGAAAACATTGGTCAGTTGCCCAAAGCACTCGACATGCAGCTCATCAGTGGACGTAAGGGTGTAGGTGGTCCAGGCGTTTACCACAACAAAACCCTAGAGCGAAGGAAGAACAGCTTTGCAAATCGCCGATGCGCCCAGTCCCTTGTTGGTACACCAAACTACATTGCTCCCGAAATACTCCGAAGACAAGGTGAGTTATTTCAGTCTTTATCCATATTCAAAGATTCATACTTATAATATGCGAATTATCTGTTTACTCTAACCAACAAAATATACTAGCATTTAGAGTAGCAGTGGTTCGATAGTTGACATTCATTCCGATTGGAAATATGCCATCGACTGCTGTGACGTAATGAGAATGTGGAACTTGACAAACTTCACGACAAACAGTTGCCTTTGATAACAGATTCTGTTGGACAGGGACCACCACAAGTTAATCTCAAGTGATATCACGATCTGGGTGGCATCAATAATATCACTGTACATTGATAAGCCTTCAAAAGGCTTATGAACAGTCCCAACGAAAAAGACATTTGATATGCATTCGGAGTGAGAGTTGTTATCCAGGTGAGGGTGGCTTGAAAATGTGGACGTCTCTACTCTCAGAATATATTAAACTCTTACACAGAAAGGTGTTGGAAAACTGCACTTACCATGATGGATGAGTCTGCGTGCTTCGACCCGCGAGGCAGTCACAACGGCACTAGTTCAATACAGTGTGCTGGGGACAATGGCTATTTTAAGTCTCTTTCCAAGACGCATTAAATCCTTGGTACTGAGCACAGGGTAATTTTCCCGGGGTTTATCTCCACTGTGAGTTGCCTCTTCGATGATCGCCAACGGACTCATTCAAGTGGTTCACAAATACTGCAAGTGCATTTACAGGAATGCAGTACACCTTAAATCAGTGGGAATCCCACGGTGAGAAGTCAGTCGTGCAGCAAGTAGCTTATCACGTCTGAACAGAGTAGAGTATTTTATGCTATTACTACATGGGAAAACGGCAGCGCGACTACCTCTTGCTGCATGCTTCATAACCGTGATTGTTTAACAGGTATGAGGGTTCCATTTAACTAAGGATAAAGGGGACCAATTCCCAAGCGAGATAGCTGCGTTCTCCTCACTTTTTTACTCCTGTCTCATGCTGCTTCTTACACACAACTATTTGCAACTCAACAAAGCATCTCTCGGAGAATCAGATTTTATTCATCGAATTGGTCGTAAAAGTGGTCTTCAGACATTTTCGTCATCTTAAACGCAGCAGGGCCCTGAGGTTCTAGTTGAGCCTGATATGATCCGCAGTGAGGACCTAACATGCCGGCTGACCAACATTTACGGTCACGCACCTGGCTTAGAGTGACAGCGGCGTGGCAGTTCGGAGTATGTTTACGAAGCCAACATACTTATGGAAGTTAGCACACGCTCGTGTTCAGCTATGAATCATAGAAAATGATTCTCTGGTGCGTGGCTGCCTTCGGTAGCAATAACACTCACGATACGGTTTATACAATCTGCTTTTCTCATTTTTGCGGGCGGTAATTTGTGAGACGCAACCTGTACGGCATTTCCATCATATTACTGTCTGCTAAAGTCGAACAGAATTTTCGGGGAAGGTATCGTCGGTACAGTCCGATCGCTAAGAAATTTGGGTTTAACATTAAGCTTAACACAGAAACGGCTCTTAAGATGTAGTTTGACCAGAGAGGATTGTCCTGTTCTCCGAGCCGGGCATTTCTGTTGCAACAGAAATGCCCGGCTCGGAGAACAGGACAATCCTCTCATCCACACCCCGAGCTACAGGTATTCTCAGTAGTTCGACCTCTTCGTGGACTCCCTCAATTGACCGTGTTTGCTTGACCAATTTAGTGCTCATACCATCTAGAGAAGGCGATATTTCATCTGCCCTCACTAACGGTATCTTGGCTACCCACGACGGGTTTTAAACTTGTTCTACGTTATGGTAGCTGGTTGCTTGGACGAATGAAACCAACGCCACGCAGACAGGCAGCAAACCAGTCAATCGCCGCAAACGCGAGCTAACCACGGTCGTGCAACCAGGAAGGACAGGACGAGATTGGCCCACTCCAGAATGGACGGATTGTCCCGAACAGAGTGGACGCAGTAACAAATCTGCACTCACTACAGGGTGTGATGATGGCCGGCCCACTGAGCAAACGGAAACGAAGTGTAACTAGTCAGCAGAAAGTGAATCGATTCCTATCCACACGAGCTGATCATAGTTGCACGACGCAGACGAACGGCGAGAAATTCGCGCAGCCAAACATGAGACGAATTCAACGTGACCTTGATAGGGCGGGGATGGGTTAGAGAGAGTACAGTGGTCCATTGAATATAGGCAGAAGGAAGTCGCCGCAATTGAATAGCGCTTTGAAGTGCTATACGAGTGATTCCACGCATTAAAAATAACATATTTGAAGTCGCTAGCCAGATTTTGTTTAGATTATCGGAGAGCTCCTCCGGCTTCACCACTAATGAGCTTCCAACCTTTTTACTCTCTTGCACTGTAGACTACGGGCAGTCTTGCGATTGGTGGTCTGTCGGGGTTATTTTGTATGAGATGTTGGTAGGGCAGCCTCCCTTCTTGGCACAGACGGCAACGGACACTCAGCTACGTGTTATTCAGTGGTACAAATATTTGAATGTTCCCGGAGAGCCCCGTTTGCATTCGGAAGCAAGCTCGTTGATCAGACAACTGTTACGTGACCCTGCGGACCGACTGGCCGATCCAGCGGTGATAAAAGCCCATCCGTTTTTCGCACCCATCGCTTGGGACAAATTGACCACGCTACAAGCGCCGCACATTCCCACAGTAAGTCGCGGTTTCATCTCTACTTACTTATGTGATGTACATTATACATATAAAAATTCACCGTTTCGCTTTCCTCCTACCTAGAGACGACAGCTAAGGTTGTGGGTTCGTCTAATTTTAATTTCCCCTATTTCGGTGATCTTTTGCAAGTTTTCTAAATAGTAATCACAATGATGTTATGCCAAACACAGTGCTGCATACCAGAAACACTTTGTGGTTGAAAGACACAGTCCAAGCTTCTATTCGTTCAACCTCAACGCTCCACTTCCGCTTGTTCTTAAACGGGTGACATCGCCCAACGCATCTCAATGACCAAGGTCGTCCTCACCAGCCTAAACTGTTTGCAACGGTACAGTGATGTTGAGTCTCAGTTGTAAAGGCAGGTCTACGGGATGGCAATCAGTTTAGCCGCGTTCTTTGGCTACTAAGATTGACCATTTAGATTTACGCGTTCTGGTGTCTTCCAGATTGTTACTACAAAAATGGCTGTTTAAACGCGAGCTGGCGATATCTATCTAAACGCACGCCGTCTGGGCTGTGAGAATGAAGGACGGTGCGCAGAATAAATTGTATTGAAGCCACGGTGATTTTTGCACAAATGATTATGAAGTAAATAGAAACTTATAACTTATGAATAGGTGAATGGACTCGCAAGTATGTAGATATAATCCCCGAAGTACGTAACTAACGGACTCTAAATAGGCCGAAAATATGCTGTGCCGTTTGGTGCAGCAAGCTGTAGTCTGATGCTAATGAGCCATTAAGTGCTGAAAATTAGATAACTAATGATAAATGCCTGCATCTAAACTTGCGTAAGTATATGGTCATAGATTTTCATTATAATGCTCCACCAATGTTAAATTTTATCCATTTATAACAGTTTTAGCTCTTAATACCACAGTAATGTGTTTACCTTATTTCCGCTTTTTGATTATATATACACATTTATTTTTATATTTATATAACATTGGATAAATGCTTACATCTAAACGTGTGAATGTATATGGTTATAGAACTTCATTATAATGTTCTTCAATGTTAAATTTTAATGGTTTATGATATTATGTTAGCTATTATCTTTTTAATAATGTGCTCCCATTATTATAACTTTAATTTTCGAAAAATTCCAGCAGTACCTTCATTCCTGCTATATACCCATCAGCTGATTCTGAGAACGCGTTCTTCAAAATCTTAGTTACCGGATACCTATAGTTCCACGTGGTCAGTTCGGACAGTCCGCCCTCATTCGATGGTGCATTAAAATAAAGTGCTCGGATATCTGAACTTTGCACATCGTTGTCAGTAAATAATGAAATACCTAGAATAAGGATGAAGAGGAAATTGTAAAATAGGCAGTACATTTAATTCAGATTCTGTATGTGATCAATGGTAGTAATCTGCTCAATTATCATGGTTATAAATAGGAATGAAAAATGTACTACTTGTAAATAGATAGTAGCAGTTACACAAACGAATCAGGAGTGCACAGTATCAGTTACGTCGGTGAATTGGGAATTCACAGAGATGACGTTACTTTCATTTGGTATCGTTGAATCCCTGTTTAAGTGCACTCAATTTGTCGACATGCTGTGTTAGCGCGTACGACAAATGCGCTCGGACTGATTGTGTGTTATATGCCCGACCATGGTTTCATACTGTAGAGTGTATTACTGCTTTGGTTAGAAGCATGTTCTAGATGGGAATGGAATTCGAGTTAAAAATAAGACTTGGAATTCGCGACTTTTGCCTAATCTTTTGAAGATGGCTAACACCCCTAAAGGTGTGCTGTTCGTTGAGTGACCAATCCCAATTCAGTCGATAGTTTGACATACAAGTACTGAAAGTGGGATCATCATCAACAGCAGTACAGCAGCCATTTGAACTGATGCTTCGCAGCCATACAACCATGAGGACCTATGAAATAAAGAATAAGAAGAGGGAGAGAAGGGGAACTTACCTGAAAACCTTAATGCCCTAAGCAAACATTCAGGGTCAAGGCGCCTATACCTTGTGTAGACAACATTCCGTCACAAACAGCTGGCTATCGTGCAAAGATAAGGCGGTATCGGCGAGACAGCTTCCATGCGGCTTTCACTGCCACGCGTCATAATCAGCCATTACCCCGCAGATAACTCAGCACCAAACACACTTTAAACAGACAATCCGATTAGGAGACGGCAGCAGACGCGCCACTGGTGTCGGTTGCGAGCCATGTCCTGTAAAGTCTCAAGCCAAGCACAAGGTGAGTCACGTGGACTCCAGCCTGGAAGGCGAGACGGACCAACGGCACCCAGTTTAGTTGTCAGTGACTTCATTTCCCGCTGCCAAGTCAACTTCTGTCCATCTCGAGCCTTGCGCCAACCTACACCTGGCAGACTAAACAAGGCCCTCCTAGGTAAGCGGTGACCAGGCATGCGTAGCACGTGCCCGAGCCAACGCAACTTATTCAATGCTATCTGTTGTTCTAGGGAGCTAGCATGATTATCACCACCTAGTACTCGCCTACGCACATCATCGTTGCGGACACGCTGGTGCCATCCGACACCAGCAATGCTTCGCAAACAACGATGATCAAAGACTTGGAGGCGCCTCAGATCTTCAGACCGAAGGGGCCAAGTTTCACTACCGTAGAGCAGAACGGCCCTCACTGTGGCCTTGTATACACGGCCTTTCAGGCGGAGGGAAACTCCCTTCTGTCGCCAAAGATGCCGCAGGTTCAAGAAGGTAGCTCTGGCCTTCGCAATGCGTGAGCTCACGTCAGTTTCTATGCGCCCATCATTGCTGATGCAGCTGCCAAGATAAGTGAATTGATCAACCACCTCGAGTTCCTCATTAGCAAGCGTCAAGGGGTCATCAAGTGGCTGATGGTCCTGCAGCAACACTTTGCACTTTGAAAGTGCGAAGTGCGTACCAAATAATGGGACCACTCTGGATAGGCTATTCAGGGTTGACTGTGCTGCCTCAGCATTGTCGGAAGGTAAGACGATATCGTCCGCATAATCTAGGTCAACTAACCTTTCACCAGGCAGCACTTCAACGCCTACATCATGAGATTCCGCAAGGGAACACTCCATGATAGAATCCACGACGAAATTGAACAAAAACGGGGAAATCGGACAACCCTGACGAATGCCACTTGTAGTCGAAAAGCTATCCGATAGGGCACCATAGACCCTGACGCGGCCTGTAGTGTTCCAATATAGAGCACGAAGGATGTTCACATATTTCGTGGGAACACCTTTTCGCGCAAGTAATTCGAACAGAATCGATCGATCGACTGAATCGAACGCACTCTTGAAGTCGAGGAACACAGCTATTGTCGGTCTGCGGTATGCGTGGCGCTGCTCTAGCACCTGCCGCAAAGTAAATATATGGTCTATACAGCCACGTCCTGGGCGAAAACCGGCCTGCTCTCCCCTAATCCGAGATTCCCGTTCTGCAGTGACGCGACGAACGAGAATCGAGGCCAGTAATTTTGTCACAACTGGCGTTAGGCTAATACCCCTGTGGTTCGCACAGTTTGTGCGACTGCCCTTCTTGTATATTGCCACTATAATCGATTCGATCCAATTAGCTGGCACACTCTCTTCGTTCCAGATACGTTCGAATAGGGAGGTCAGTGCCCTGCAGAGGACCTCACCTCCATCCTTAAATAGTGCAGGTGGGAGGGAATCCGGGCCAGCGGCACCAAAACGATTGAGGGCTGTGATCGCGTTTCGGACCTCGGCCTCCGACGGAGGCTCTAAGCTAACCGTCCATGGCACGTCCTGCATCACCTGAGTAGGAAGAGGTCCGGGAGCAGGGGGCCAGCTGAACTGATCTTCAAAGTGTTCAGCCCAACGAGCCATACGGCGCTCCTTATTGTGTATCAGCGCACCCGCGCTGTCCCTGATTGTCTCACTGACGCCTGGTTTTCTGGGACCAGTGGTGCGGATTAGCTGGAAGAGCTTGCGGTAATTGCCTACTGCTCCTGCCTCCTCCATTTCTTGAGCCCGACTGGTCCACCAGGCTTCCTTGACAACACATAGGCTCCGCTTTAGTTTACGCCTAATAGCCCGTCTGGTCACATTGTGTTCAGAACCAGCCGGGAGGTGTCTTCTAGCTTCCAACAGGTTCACCGACCTCTGCGATATCCAGTGACTGGTGCGGTGACGACTGATAGTGCCACAAACAGATGCTCCTGCGTCGTGCATAGCGGCCGAGATTCTATTCCACTGAAGTTCAGTGTCATTGGGACAAGACAGCGAGAGTTCGCTATGCAGTGCTTCTTGATAGGCTTGCCTGACAGAGGGCTGGGACAATTTCTCCGTTGCCAATCGGGGGAGACGCTTTGTGCGCCTTCCGGTAAAGTTCATGGAGAAACGACAGCGCACCAAGGCATGGTCAGAGTCGACACACGTACTCCAGTACGAGCGGCAATCCAGAATGGAATCGCGCCACCTGCAACTGATGGCTATGTGGTCAATTTGGGTCCATCGCTGGCCAGCTACAGGTGGACGCCAAGTGGCACTTCGGCGCCCACTGTGTCTAAAAGCAGTGCTAGTAAGAAACAACTTGTGCTCCGCACACAGTTGCAGCAGACGGTCGCCGTTGTCAGTCCGTTCGGCGTTAAGTCCATGCTTACCACCCAGCTGAGCTTCTGAAGAGCTCAGACACCCTACTTGTGCGTTCATATCCTCTGCAAGTACTATAATATCTGAACTAGTAGTACTGCGTAGCAGCGTGTTCAGTTCGTGATAGAAAGTGTCCTTGACTGCATTAGAACTGCAGTCGGTGGGAGCATAAGCAGAAATCACAAACAAACAGCGTTTTGTTTTACTTCGCGAATTCACCTTAGCCGATGTCGTCAAACGGGCTGCACATAAACGGCTGTTCACCGGAATCCAATCAACCAACGATGACGCAGCCTTGCAGCTGAGAATGATACCTACACCAGCTTGACCCGTGAGTGCCGCATCGGCGTCTCCGGATGCGTGCAACCAATAACGAGAGGATAAGCCGGGTGCAGTCAATTCAATAACCCCGTTAGGGTCATTAATCCTAGTTTCGGACACACAACACACATCAACACCCAGTGTGTCCAAGGTGCGTGCGAGTGCAGCCTGCTGACCTGTTTGTCTTAGAGTGCGGACGTTGAATGTCGCCATGGAAACGGGACAGCGTGGCCTTTTAAGGGACTTTTGCCGATAGGCGTCTGATAGGTGCTGTGGGATGGTGGCTGCAGATGGTTCTACTCCAGTAGCACTTCGGTTGCTGTCAATTAAGCTGGGAATTATAGAAGGAAGGTTAGTAATGGGGGCCGGGATGGGAGTAAGAGAAAAAGGTGGAAAAGAAAGAAGGGAGGCGCCAGCAGTAGCATGTTTTCGCTTATCCGCCCTGCTGTATGCAGCAGATAAGGCGACCCTTGATAATCTGCGCGACGGCCGATGCAGGATGAAGTTTATGTTTGAAGAAGATGTCATGGTTGTATGTGGGCTGGCATACTGCCAGGGCGCCCAGACAGACAGGAGAACGATTAGGATCCTCATCCAAAGTCTTTGGCTCAAAAGCCTGTCCGCAAGGCAGCGGGGTGGCAGTGATTTAGTTTTACAGAAATGGACGCCATCCCATTTCAAACCCCCAACCTGGAGGACCAGGAGACTGAGTTTGTCTGACCTCTCACCATTGACCAAGCTGGTAGGAGTAGCTCTCAAGATGCTCGGAGGCATCACCCAGTATAGCTCAATGGGTCATTGAGGTACGCAAACCGTCGCGCCACGTTAAGGTCCAGTCTCGTTGCGACGGACTGAAAGTGGGATGCTGTTGGCTGATTTGGGATTGGTCACTCAATGAACAGCACGCATTTAGGGGCGTTCGCGCTTGTTGAATGCAATCTGATAGAGCTAAAGACTATTTTGGGAGGTCTATGGGAAAACATGATTTCCTTAACGATGAATCTGAAGGTGTTATGAATGCAACTGGCTGAGAAAAGTTATAGTACATCCCAGAAATCCAGTCCGATCATTGCCGGTTAGTAATATGCATGTTAGTGGAGCGTTCTATTACTAAAAATAATGACTCCCACCTACCTGCATCCCGATCCCTTGTATCTTGGTTGAACTTAGGGTGTTACAGAGAAAGCCACTTATGGTACTTCCTTGTGCGCAGGCATCTTGTGGGGTTGGTCGCAGCCGCAACGATAGACAGACCCAAAGGCAGCCACTGCCATCTACGATTACTAAGGGGCAGAACACCAGTTTACTACTCGCGTCGTGGCAATTCAACCAGGGCCATTGCGTCCCCGCTGGTGGTATCTCACACGGTGAAAGTGGTGTTCAGTTAAGTCTACCAAACCACGAAACATGTGTGGTACGTTGGGAGACCGTAAGATGCAGCATTTTGCTGATAGAAAACACGTGTCCTCAATGAGCAATGACAACAAAGTTTTCAGCGGAACGATAGTACAAGCGCATTTGGGTAAAACGTTTACTCCCGACCTGATGAATCCGGACAGTTGTTTCCAGTGGTTGGTGAGTAGAGCGCTTGTTGCGTCTCACGCACCGAGCAATGCTACACACTAGCTATCTCCTCATGAGGTTCGTCACAGTTGAATTCAATGAGACAGCTGTTGATCAGTCACGGCTGTTCGTCGCCGCCAACCATTTTCACTGGTCCAACTTGCAGAATCGCAAAAATCATGTGTTCGAATCCAGCATGAGCCGAATGAGATGCAAACCGCCAAAACTATTCAGGAAGGACGAAACGGCCATCGGATTCTACTCTGAATATGCGGTAGTTGTCTAGTTGAATCTAGCTGCGACGAACCTCCACAAGATAGCAGAAATCACCCAACTATTCTAATAGGACAGTGATCCGCCTGATTCGCGCCTTGATCATCTTTTGACAAACATTTGGCATTTAACGTCGTCAATCAAATAACATTTTCCTTAATCCACCCGGTGCACTTTTTTTAGATCAAAGATGAACTGGACACATCCAACTTCGACCCGGTTGACAATGAACGTGCGCTGTTGAGCAGTGAGGACTCGGGCTCTCACGGGTCCGGTGTAAATAATGCCGGTCTCCCTTTCCCAAATTTCACATTCAAGCGCTTCTTTGATCGCGATCCCACGACGCTCCCAGCCCCTTGAAGCCTCGGCGGTGCTCAATCAAACAATGCAACGTCGTTTCCCATCATCACCTGGTCTGTACGATTCGTCCTTTCCCTCCTTTTTCGTCCGAGCCAAATTACATGATGTATATGCAGTGCACACAGTGAAGGCACACATCTATCAATCGTCACTTGCAACACTAAGTTCTACTTTGAATGAGTGGGGCCCCACGTTGGGCTGTTACGATTTCTGATGTGAAGTGACTTCGACCAATCGGGAGGTGGAGAACGGGGCCAAGTTCACATGTGTTCTGTGCCCAAAGGTTTTTTGCCAAGTGCTGTACCATGGTTTTTCATCATCAAATTTCTTGTGGTATGTAAATACATGCGTTCCCGTGGTGGTACTGTATTTCTCATTCGCCCATCCAACTTGTTTCCAAGCACTCGGGCCCCTATGGAGCTCTTGGAACCTGAGATTTCTTATTGCCGATAAATTTATGGATTTACAGACAGCTTCTGTACCATTGCAGCTGGAATCCTATCTGGTTCAGTGATATTTAGTTCTGGCCACCATATTGTTCATGAATTCATTAACGCGTAGAACAGAAATCTGCTCAAACTAGACCCAGGATAATCTTGATGGATTTGTCTGATGTCGCCGGATCAAGGCGATCTATCGTGAATGTTTCAGATGGAAACGATACGGCTGTGGTATGAACTGATGATCTTGTGACACAAGGGGGAACTCCACGACCACCTAATCATTGTGGGCCAATGGAATGCGGCAATTAGAGAGACCCATTTGACACCCGCTACTTGTGAGTAGTGTGATCCAAAATCGGGTCTCTTCTCAGGCCAATCAGATGACGATCACTCAGCCCCAAAACGACTTCCTTCCGGGATTTCCCGCTCAACTGCATATTTTCTCATATTTAATGTTAGGCCAAAGTGCAATTGTCCCAATCTAACGGATTTCGACCTTCGCGTGCGTTCGAAGTAACCTCGGAAATTAGTCTTGTAAACGCGACGCCTAGCGCTGTGCTGTACCACTTTGGAAATCATGCGATCACGCGGCGGATATGAAAGATCTCCGTCAACAAAGGTGATCTCCCTTATGGATTTGAATATATAAAACACTCATAATTACGTGGATTTCGGCGATTTGTTTGCTCACAAGCAGTAAGTGTGTACTCATTCCTATGTACCTGATTTCATTTCGGTAGACTAAAGGGTTAATAGCACATGAATTTCATCGTGTCTGGTTGAAGTTCAGAACTAATTTTAGCTAGAGCGACAAGTGTATGATCGTTACAAAAACACCGTACATGCACCCGTGTGAGGGCGATAGTGCACGATTCAACAGGTGGTAAGGAAGACCCGGGAATCGAGCCAGAGTCCGCAAGCAGGACTGATTGTACTGATGGTATGCATCAGAGTAGTCGAGAATTATGAAATCATCTTTTAACCGACTCACTTAACCTGGCTTATCCGAGAGAGTGCACAAAAGCCCACCCATGGAATGATAACCGCGTCCATGGTTGTCAGCTGGACATTGACGTAATAGTTTTTACGACTCGTTACAGACGTTGGCAAACCAGACCTTCGTTGACCATAACAATGCACCAGCCCGGATCATTACAGATTGCTGCGCTGTAGTAACAAGAAGCACCTCGAAGCAACTCCGCTTCGCCGTCTTCGTATCTTGGGAAGTTTGAACCGAGTTACTCATTTACTGATCACGGTCAGGTAACCTTGCCTAACTTGATCGAGAGTCCATGCCCGCCTGTCGATAAAAAAATACCGTATACGTAATGTCAACAAAAAGCGCACATTAAGGACTAACGACCATGGCAGAGCCAGAATAGAAAGTCTCTAGGTGAAACGGGCACTAGGCGCGCTACCTTGTCAACCGAGGTATGGGTGCTCCAAAATAGGCAGCCGGTAAAATTCAACAAGAGCTGGTCTAGAGAACTCTTAGTGTAGATGCGATCTGCACTTGATCAGTTATTAACTGCGTGGCAATAAGGCAAAATTTCCTAGGATTGTTTATATCCCGAGATTTGTATTCAATAGGGTACTGTCGCACCATTAGAGACTGCTAATAGTAGATACTGTCCACTTGGTCATTCGCAGCGGCCTGCTTAGAGGAAGTAGCAGCGGATGTCATTTTGGCTAACCAGAGGGTTAGTGAGAGTGGCACCACCTCTTGAGGTCTTGAGGTAACCTTGGAGTCAAAATTGGTAACAAGCATTATAAGACAGTTGAGCAATCAATAAATCAAAAACGAAGCCTCGTCCGTTGTCTAACGGAAAGAGCGAGGAGTATATGTACGGAAGACACGCTCTCAGATGAGCTGGGTTTCTTTAAAATGTTTTGGAAAACTGGTAGCTCGGGTTGATAATTCAGTTGCTCATTTGTTCGCCGAGCTGCGAAATTGGTTTGCAAACGTTTCACCGTCATGCGAGACGGCATCATCAGTGCGTCGAGATGTGCACATCTCGGCGAACAGATGAGCAACTGAGCTGGGTTTCATTTGGTGTGTTCTCGAACAAAATAGTTACCCGGACAGATACATCGGGATGCACATAGAGCCGCGAGAAGCAATCACCGCAGAAAAGCGGGTAATCTACTTATCACCGCCTTTCAAGGGTGACATGATAGCGAAACTAACTACCCGAAGGCTGTGCAATGCCACCGCGAGAGCCTACTTTGCAGCTGACCTCCGTGTCAGCTTCACTTCTGCGCCAGTCGTTAGTCAACATCTCAAAGACAGGATACCGAGGTCGTATATTTCCTTCTGTGTGTACCGCTTTTCTTGCTCGTATCGAACAAGTTAGATTGGAAAGACGATCAGGTGATGTTCTGAGAGAGTCCGGGAACATTGTCCGACATGGCTCTACACTGGACGGTAGCCAGCGCGGTGCTGTGGCACTTGGTCGACTTAAATTACCAAATCAAGGTACGAGAGGCCTTCCGCACTATCTACCGGATATCTGAACGCCACACGCGAGCCCTCCGATGTCACATATTAGCGACAGCGGAGGCGATCGCTATTCGGCTCTACAACCCCAACTAATATGCACAAAAGAAGTTTGTACAGCCTCTTCATCTACCATGGCCTCAAGCCACCCCATGTAACGACGCCGCGCTTAACACTTTCAATAATGTTGCTCTACCTAGTGCCGTCATCTATCGCATTGACCGGTGAATTCACTTCATTGATTCATCGTATTTAAATACTTTGTGGCAGTTTGGAAATTATTGTGAATACCTGTAGCTCGGGGTGTGGGTGAGAGGATCATCCTGTTCTCCGAGCCGGGCATGTCTGTTGCAGACGTTTCGTTACCAAACTAGGCAACATCTTCAGTGCGGCTATTCAGCCTTGATTCGCGGAGTCTTGCAAACCCCTGCCGGATCCGAATGACTATTGATTGTTACCTGCTTCGAATGTCAGCCATCGCTTGATTTACGTGAGTCAGCCGAGTGATCACGTCTTCTCCTTGTCGTTCTGGTGCCTAATGCTGGCTTAACTTGCAGAGCTTCGTAGACACCCTCCAGCTCCAGGTGTTTGTTGATTGAGTTCCGGCCAGAAGGCCAGGCCTCGAGGAACTCATGCGCTCTGCGTTTTCTTGCTCTTCCAAGTATTTCAACATTCTACAGATCCAACTGATGGTCCTCGGCACCCATGTGTACTGACATTAAGGATTTCTCATCGTGGTGGAGGATGGCCAGACTATGTTCGCACAGTAGTGTGCCAAGTTTTCTTCCAGTCTGGACTACATATTACTTGTCGCAGCTGTTGCAGGAAATTTTGCAAACTATACCTGATGTCTCTTCCTTACTCATTGTGTCCTTTACCTTGAAAAAGTTATTTCGAAGAGTTTCCGTTGCCTCGTGTGCAACATTTATCCCGGAAGGCACCGATGCCATTTCCGAAATCCCATGGGTGTAAGGTAAGACAATCGTCCTTCTTCCTGTTGCACATGTGGACGCGGGTTGTGAATTGCTCTACAACATCAGGCAGCCTAGGATTAAGTGTTACAACCGTTTCCGAAGTTCCTTAGACAGCTTGTAATTCGGTGCCCCGGGTAATGACACGATAGGGCCCAGCGGTACCACATTTCTGTGTACTTTGGGTAGGCTGTAGAACCGTGGTAGCACTGAATCCTCGGGTTTCATTTTGCTGTGTTCTAGCTCTGCGATCTGTCCCATTTGTTCCAGTCTTTGAAGAGTTTTGTTGATCTTGCTTTCCAGACGTTTTGTAGGGTTTTCACTTATCGGCTGGTAGGTGTTCACATCTCCGAGCAGTTCTTGTGCTTTCTTCATGTAGTCAGTTTTGTCCATTATTACAGTACGACGTCCATTGTCAGCCGGTAATAAAACAATGGTTTTATCTTTTCTGAGGTTTGTCAGTGCCTTTCGTTTGCTTACACTGAATATGTTGGCTGTAGGTTCTGTCCAGTGCATTACCTTCTTCCACTCGTGCTTCTGGGATACTCATGAGTGGAGGGGTTTGGCGAGATTTATTTGATTCATCACTGACGAGTTCGTAGAGGACGAAACGGCCTTCTGGTGCTTTTCCGGATTGATAGTTGGCCTATGTGGCTTGTAATCTAGCTGCGATAGAGTAAATAAATAAATACACAAACAAACGTTTTATTCCTCGACAGTGCGAGGCACAGACCAATTGAGGGGTCTTATCGACATATACAACGTGATCGCATAATATAGATAATTTTACGTGTTTCATTCAGTGGTTCCCATATGGGTTTTTAAAGCGATTAGCAGTTTGAAAATAGTAGATATTAAGAAACTGGGAACAATAATAAATTTAGATTTCACGGAAAGTTCAAGTAAAGTAATACGGTCATCCATGGAACTGTGCCCAGGGGACTTGCTTCCATGCAGGGTATTCCCACGATGGGTTTCACCCGCACTTCCATGCTCCAATTGGCTCTGTGTCGGTGTGGCAAAATGATAAATAGGACATCAGACTGGGTATCAAATGTTTTTAAGGGCTGTTTTATGCAAACATTATAGGCGATGAAGCCTCGGCCCATTCCGTCATGCTGATCAATTAACACTAGAAAGACCGCTCCGCCATTATACCTAGAACGCCCGGGACCGGTCAGAATGACCGCACTGCTATATTTTTTATCCCAACTTTTAGTTAAGAATTTTTTCACGGCATTTAAAAACTAATGTATAGAACATACCTGTAACAGAAAAATGATTGTATTAAGGTTTAGTATTTTTCAAAAATTGTAAACAATTCCGTATACCTACTCCAATTTGCACTTGAAGCAAGTGATAACTCGCTCAATCTGTTCACATGGGACGCAAACTATTTTTTCACAAACGGGGCACATGTTTTGTGATTTGTTACCTTTACAGTAACCAATCTGACACTGCCGACGTTTAATTTTCACACGACTTCCCGACTCCGCTGAGTTGTTCGTCGTAATTCCCGTTGTCACGTACC